ATGGAAATATAGGGGTTACAGCCCACCCAGAGCTCATATTTGCCAGTAGTTGCCTCGAAGACAATAAGCCAAATGAGGGACTAAAAGATGCAGGAGCTTAGGAAAAAACACAGGCTCTGAGCCAGCACACCCAGTGAGCTGGTATCACAGCTCTCAGACTTTCTGGGGAGAACCAAAGTGTGCTGCATCTTTGGAGACCTATTTTAAAACAGAATAGTATTTTATTGTGCTTAATTCCACAATTAAGAAAGCCATGTGCCAGAAAAATGTGCTGCTTTTTGGCACTTTAAGATGGTGCAGAGGAGAAGTCATCAGCTCAGGCTATCAAAACCAAAATGATACCATTATTTAAAATCATTTTCTGGTACAACACTGACAAAACCCCTACCTCACATTGTTCAGTCCCTAAAATCAACTCAGTTTTGAGTATTCCTTTCTCCTCGTCTCAACAAAAAATTGTTGACTCTGTGCTCAGCAGACCTTTTGCAAGGGGTTTAATGTTACTCTCCTTCCATCTGCCTCTGGAAGTCAAGATGATAAGAAACAAGGTATCTGCTTCTGTATATTCAGAGGCTTCATGATAGAAAAACATCCATATTATGAAACTCTGGGGTCTTAAAAAATTGAAGACCAACCAGTTATGATTTTAGAAGATTTTTGCCTTTTGTCAAAACCACTTGAGTGGTTTTTTTTTGACACTGAAACCACCAGAAAGAAGAGGGATTAGTAAAGTTATTGTGTTAACCAAAGAAGTGGCAAGATGATTTGCCAAAATAAACAATAAATACAGTGTGTGTACATCACTATACACAGTGAGGCTGTAAAAGTCTCTGCATTTTTCCACATAAACCAGTGCCACTAAACAAGAGAAGAAAATGAATTCATTTTAAATAAGAAGCAAGTTCTTCAAACATTCCTTAAATTTTGTTAAGTTTCATACAGGAAAGCCAAGTACTTGGCACATTTCAACAGCAGTAAAAATGGTAACAGTTCCTTGTGAGAAGACAGAACTCACTGTGGAAATGACTTGGGAACTAAATTTGTTTTTGGACCCTATCTTCCTAGAAGAAAACAAAAGATTTGGAGTTAAAGAGAGTCAGATTTTAGTCCAACAAAACTATGTATCTTTCTCATCTGATAAATGTGATGCAGTCTATACTGCTTAGGCAGACTGAAGGCATGGAGAAAGGCAAACTGATTGAAACTCCACTATGCTCACAGCTAAGATTTGTAGTCATTCAGAAACAGCCAGGTATTTGATGCTTTTATAGCTCAATCTTCTCTGTATTCTCAGATCACATAAGCAATAAGTTCCTCTGAAATATTTTTTCTCCAGGCTGAATAAGCCCTCAGTCTCCCTTCATATGTCATGTGCTCCTGACTCTTGGTGCCCTCCCCTGGGTTCACTCTTGTATGTCAATATTGTGCTGAGTGCACAAAACTGGTCATGGCAGTCTAGACGTGGTCCTAAAAGTGCTGAATAAAAGGGAAGGATGACTTTCCAGTACCTGCTCTGAAGACCCTTACTAATGCTGTCCAGGGCATGTTGTGCACCACAACCCCAGAGCCTTTTCTGCAGAGCTGCTTCCAAACAACTGGCACAAAGCCTGCCTTGTGGTTGGGATTACCACAAACCAGGGCAAAGAGATTTTGTTCTTGCTGAACTTCAAAAGATTTATGTAAGCCTTCATAAAGTTTATGTAAGCCATTTCTCCAGCCTGTCCAGGTCCCTCTGACAGCAGCCCTGCCTTCCCAGTTTGGGTCACCCCTGCCTGGTGCCACCTGCAAACCAGCTGAGAGTACCCTCCACCTCATTATGCAGATTATCAATGAAGACACTGAATGGTATTGGTCCCAGGACTGACTCTGAGGGATCCACTCCCTCCTGGCTGCAAGCTTGGCTTCACAACCTTGCTTTTTTAAGTCCAGCCTATTTTCTGTCCACTTTTTAGTGTCTTTATCCATCCCATGCCCCACCAGTTTTGGGGGCTATGCAGGAAGCTACAGAGGGTGTCAAAGACCATTACAATTAAGATGTATAAGAACCACTGCCTTTCTTCTGCCAGACACCTCATCATGGCAAACATGATTTGAATATGGGAAGTAGTTTTTTCTTCTCCCATTCACCTTGCTGTCCTTCATGTGTTTATATGTGATTTGCTCCAACAGTGTTCTCAAGGACTGAGGTGAGGCTGACTTGAGTACAGTTATCTGGATCCTTGTTCTTGTCATTCTTAACAATCAAGCTCCACTAACTTTTGTATGAAATCCAAGTGATTTAAGTGATGCCTCACTATGCCTTCCTCTGCCAGGGATGCTTCATCATGTTCAGGGGCTCAGGGACCTGGGAGGCCTGAGGACAAGCCTTGCAAGTGAAAACCACAGTATAAAAGGTACCTTAGCCTTTCTCATGACCCATGTCACTATGCTGACTGTTCCAGCAAGCAATAGGGCCACGCTTACTTAGCCTTTATTTTACTCCTGATGTACTTTAAGAAATCTTTTCTGTCTTGCACTTCCCTGAGCTGGAGCTTGCTGAACTCCATTCCTTTGTAAATAGAAAATGCCTCTGTATCCCTCCCAAGTAGTCAGTCTCTGCTTCATGGTAGGTCTGTTTTTGTGTGTTTGAGCGAGTCAGGAGCTCCACATCCATTCATACTCATCTTCTGTAAAGCTTGTAATCTGAGAATGGGGAGAACAGTTCTTGTGCTCAGAGGATGCTGTCCTTGCAGATTGGATAGCTCTCCTGGGCTCCTTTGCCTTTCAAGGATCCACAGAATCCTGCCAAGCACGTCCCTGAACAAACATCTCCCCTCATCACACTATTGATCATCTGTATCAAGAAATTGTCTTCAATCTGTTTCAGAAATCTGGATTGCTTGTGTTCAGACTTATTTGCCTTCCAGTAGTTACTGCTGAAGTTAAAGTCACCAAACAATTCCAGTGCCTGGGACTATAAGGCTTTTTCCACCTGCCCCGAGATTGCTTCATCTGCCTTCTCTTGTTGATGAGAAGGTCTAGAGCAGACACCTACTACATCAGCTATCTTGGTCTGAACTTTGTTCTCTGTCCACAGGCTCCCCACTTGTTTGCCACTTCACCCAGGGTTCTGTCCACTCAAAACACACTTTTGTACAGAGCATAAAGGGAGAGCATCTCATACTGACACCCTGCTAGCACCTTACAGTACCACATGTGCCTTGTATTTACAGCTGGGTTCAAGCTTAAGGAGAAAGGGATGAGTGGGCCAGACATGCTGAACCTCCTCAGGTTTGTCCCTTCTTTAGTGAAAGGATTTTAAAGTCATGACTTGCTGTGACTGTTTTCAAATACACCTGAACCACAGTAATTCTAGGGAAGGAACAATTGTTTTTAGGAAAGAAGGGGAATGCATGCATAGGCAAATGGAAAAATTTCCACAGGACTGACTTCAGTGCTGTTGGCTGTAATTAAAATGTTTATATTCAATTATTAATCATAATATAGAGACACTATCAATTCTACACATTAGAATTCAAAATGTGGACTAATCTAATGGTCTCTTAAACCAATTGTAGACACAGAATTTTCTATGTGTGTCTTTAAACTTAAATTAATTAACAAAAAAAGTCAATCTATCTTTCATGATGGAATATACATATAACTGTTTGCAATATCTGATCTAAAAGTTACATAATAAATAAAAAAAATGCATGACCTTGCACACTTTTAACTTCCTCCATATTTCTCTGATTTTGTTTCATTGTATTTAATTTATTATTTAGACTGTACATGATGCAATGTTTATAAGATAATGTTGATATAGAATCACAGAATATCCAGAGTTGAAAGGGATCCACAAGGATCACAGAGTTGAACTCCTAGCCCTGTGCAGGAGAGTGCCAGAAGTCACACCATGTACCCAAAAGTATTTTCAAAATGCTTCTTGAACTCTGTCAGGCTGGTGCTGTCGTTACTTCCCTGTAGAGCCTTTTCCAGAGCTAAACTATCCCCAGGATGAAAAATCTTTTCCTAATTCCAACCTAAACCTCCCTTGACACAACGTCAGGCCATTCCCCGGGGTCCTGTCCCTGATCAGGAAAGAGAAGAGATCAATGTCTGCCTCTCCTCTTCCCCTCAAAAGGAAGTTGTAGACTCCAATGAAGTCTCCCCTCACTTTCCTCTTCTCCAGACCAAGAAACTTCAGTCACTTCTCATATGGCTTTTCTTCTAGGCCCTTCACCATACATACATAATGTTACAAAACCAACATATATATATATAGTATTATCTACATAAACTTTTAAAATGTAAAGTTTCAAATATGTCACTAAAAAAAGCATAAACTTTATCATTAAAGAATTTTCCACTATTTTAACAAATTTTTTTTTGGTTAAAATATACCCTAGGAACAGATGTGTACAATTGTACTTTCAAATAAAATGGTGCACTGTAATTGTGCAGTGCTCAGTGTCTCACAAGTAACTGCCTGCCATTGTGTACTCTAATGCCCAAGTCATGTTCTATGCCAGTCTAGTCATTATGCTATGGAGTCATTCAAACCACAGACTGCTTGACACCCTGCTTTAAAATATCCTGAGGTTCTAGCTGGTATTTGCCACTTATTTGCAATGGCATGATAATTATTAGTTTAGTAAGTGCCTATAGCAAAGCTCGTTAAAAAAAGAATGTTTCACATCTTGACTTAATATCATCATACAGGTTATTTTTTACTAGGATTTACAAGTTTAGCTGGAAACCTCCAGTCTTTAGACAATCTGCATGCAAAGAAAAATAATGGAAAAAAGAACTCCGTAACACCCCTAACACCTCTCATCATATATTAAAAAAACCCTACCAAACCCCAAAAGACCTGAACCCCAAACTCCAAAGTTTTTTGTTTACCACAAATTTCTTTAAGCTAAGAATTTCTATCTGGCATTGTGAGTTAATTCATCTGAGCCAGACTTTGATGTGTACCTTGATTTCTTCAAGCTAGAGATGAAGCACCAATTACTTACCTGACTCACACGCAAATGTCTTTGATGTCTCATCATGAAAGATAATTGCCACTGCATGCTTCTTTGTCTCTCGAGGCAATCTGGTTATATTTTTGATATTGTGCAGCTCAGTTACCTTAAAATGAAGAAAAGTATTTTAGACCAGGGTATAAATAGTACAAATAAAAATATTAACCTTAACTGCTCACTTTTTACTATAAACTGGTTTTCCCCTGTCCTAGTTTCAGCCAGGACAAGGTTAATTTTTCACAGTAAGCAGAAGAGGTGTGTGGCAAGGCCCAGATGTTATTTCACTCCACCTCATTCATTGCCAGGGACAGGAGTAAGGAACTCTCTCTTCTTCCACTGGGGAGAAAGCATGGTGGGGAAGAGCCAGATACTGTTCCAGGCTTTTCCATGTAAATTGTTTCTTTGTCCTGCTGGTACCGTTCACTTTTCTGTCTCATTGCTGTTTCTAGCAAATCATTCTTATCTTAACCCATGATTTTTAGCTTTTGTGCCTCCAACTCTCAACTCCATTCCAAAGGAGTGGGAAGGGGAGGGGAAGGGGGGAGTGAGTGAGCAGCAGTGGCGTTTTGAGTCTCGCTGGGAAAACTAAACTGGGGAGTACCATTCCTAAACTCCTAGGGTTATTTATATTTATAAGCTTGGTAATTGGTTAAAAAAACCACATAAATAGGTAGAGTCTTTAGTTGCAAAACTTAACTCTAATAACTCTATCTCTTTATTTCCACAAAACTCTGTTTCATTAATAAGTCCTACATGGAAATAGTTTACAATGACATCAACTCAGCCTTGGGATTTTATATAATCTATTTTTCAACTTCTATACTCATACAACTTGGATCAGTTTCAGAATCTGCATCAAATAGAAAACCTAATGTTGGAAGAACAGTGTTTCATTAGTTAAGGAAGGTAACTCAACTAGTATGTCAAGTAGTATCACTACATTTGTAAAGCTAGATCCTCATGTATCTTTAAAATGTATCTGTCATCCTCAAAAGAACTCAAACTTTAATTTTATTTTCTAAATATTTGAAAAGCTTATCAACAATAAAATACTCCTGCAGCAAATTTACAACATAAAAAATTCAATCTATTTCCATTTTCTTTGGATGCATGTATATAACTACAATTAACAAAAATGGAAGAAAAATATGTTATTCCAACCAGACCTAGTGGCCCAGCCTATATTAAACTGATTAACACTTCATATTCTGAAATATTTTTCTCAGTTTCTTGGAACTCTGGGAAAACTTTATCCATTTAGAGTTAGTTTTTCTTGGGCAGGACATTTGCCTCAGGCAGAATTAATTTCCAGAAAAATGTCAACCATATAAGTTTGGACATCTATGACTACAGAAAAAATGGACTGAATGTAGGTGGAGTTTTTTTGTTTGTTTTGGTTTGTAATTGTTATGCTACTGGTGTACATTTCCAGCATTCCTTTTTCACATGCTGAAAATAATTTTAAAGCAGAAGATATTTTATACGGTGCAGTAAAAAAATGGAACATGTTGGGGCAAAGACATTTCAATAAAATATTGATAGCAGACGAGCAGTGAAAGGCGTCAAGCCAACAAAAGAAACTGAGACAAAGCGTGAAGAGGAATGTGTTATGTGCTGACGAACTTGGGACCAGAACTGAAGACTGTTCTAGAGTCTGTCTTGACAGCCTTCAGCAAAACTCACTCCAGCTCGTCAATATCTTTGTTGTAACACGTGGGCCAAAAACGGATGTGGTACTATAAACATGGTCTAATGTGTGCTAAACTGAGGAGAATAATCATTCTCAGTACTGACTGGCCATGGTTCTGTCCATACAGCCCATGGAGCTTTGCTGGCTGAGGAACCAAGATCCAGGGCCCTCCTGCAGGCCTGCTCCCATGTTGCCAATGCCAAACCTGTGCCATCGCAGGGGCTCTTCTATCCCCAGGCTGGCACCTGGTTTTTGCCCTTATTCAATTTAACGAAGTCCATGTCAGCCCATTCGTCCAGCCTGTTCAGGCTGCTGAAAAGGTAGCTTGACTCCCAAAAGCCTATCAGCTGATCCTTCCCAACTTACTCTCTGCACATTGGTGCAGCTCCCTTATTTCCTCCAGGTCCCTGATAACAATATCAAGAGAGGTCCCAGTACAGACCACAGCAGTTCCACACTTGCTACCGTCCTCCAAGCAGGTAACCACACTGACCACTTTAATAACCAACATAACCACATAAAAACCAACCCATTAACCACAACTTTCTGGGAATGACCATCTTTGCATCATCTAGACATCCACCTGCATAAATAATAATGTCCCAACTTCAATTTGAGGATGTCATGGGAGAAAATGTGAAAAGCCTTGCTAAAGCTCTTCTCATATCATAGATGGTGATCATACTGCTCAGGCACGATTTACCCTTGGCAAATCCATGCTGCCTTTCCCAAATATTATGTTTACTCTACAGTTCTTCCTATAGGCAGAAGTAAGACTGCCAGAAATTCTCCAGGTGGACCTTTGGTTGACTGCCAGAATTCTCTGTATTCTCCAGGTTGACCTTTTGACCTTTTTTTGGACAGAGGTGCATTTCCTCACCATTTGGTTCCTAATCCCTTATAATTTTAACTTTAGTCATGCATTTTCAGGGCTTTGTAAGAATCCACATATTTCACTACTTTTTGGCTTGGGGGAAAGAGAAGGGCTGAATAACACAAACATCCCTGTCCCATTAAAGAAGTTGCTGAAATATCTGTTGATTTTCCTTGATCCATGCATGATAAATGAACTAATGTGTGAGAGGGCTCTTGTAATCTCCAGGAAATCGTCCAAAAGAGAGGAAAGAAAGCATTAGTAGGCAGAGGAGAGAGCAGACTCTAGAATTCAAAACCTGAGGGAACAAGACCAAATCCATAAGTCATTAATGAATTTTGAAGACATAGAAGGCTCCAAAGTCAGGGGTACAAATCTACTAGTCTTGCTAAAGACAGGGTACAGATCTAATAGTCTTGACTGGGTACAGATCTAGTAGTCTTGCTAAATAAAAAGATATAAGAGCAAAATATTTAAGATGATTTGGGACAGAAAAATGTTCAGATTATTATTAAAGAAAATTTTAAAAATAACTGGTGGTGCAATAGGAAAGGGAAAACACTGATAGGAAAAAGCTCCAGTGATTCTTACACAAGCAATTTATATAAAAAGTGACATTTTCACATGTGTGCGTGTGTGACACTGCACATGATGCAGATAAAAAGTACCTTAAACCTTGCTGTATTTAAAAGGGAAAATTTCTCTCTCTGGAATAGCAGAAAAGAAAATAGAATTGCTTTGAATAATGACAACAAGGCATATTAAGCCTTCTTCTAGTCTCTGTTATATAGTAGAGATATACTCTTTTTTCTTAATGCTTGAGTGCTGCAGATTACTGAAAGATCCTGCAATGCTTATAAGAAAAGATAATAATGATAATAGAGCCAAAAATCTTACATTCCTGGCACTAAAGCTACAAAATTTTGATAGTAATTTATGTTTGAAACATAAATACAAACATACCTGAGTACACACATATGGCTATATGTAAAGATGGTTTTTTGAGTCCTCTTATTGACCAGTACATTAATCCTGCCTTGTTTAATATAGTCACATATGCAACATTCATCACACAATTAAGAATACTGTCAGCAAAAAATGTACATACAACAGAATTCTTTTTATTTGCTGGTGGGAATTTAATGTCTGAAAGAGACAATGAAAACACTGCCAAATTCTTATGTGCTGCTTTTTGGTACCCATATGAGAGATTAAGTTGAACAACATACAAGGCAAGTGAAGAAATATAGTCTCCATGCAGGAAAAAAAGGTATTTGTTTTAAACACATTTCAATTTTCCTTTGACTCTGAAATCACAGGACCTCCCTAGACAGCACAGAACTTCTTATAACTCCAATGTGACAAAGTTACATGAATTGCCTCTTCCAAACTCCCTGACTTTCACCTTCTTTCTTTAAGACAAACTTCTTCAGCCATCTGTAGTATTACACAGAAATCATATCCCTCTTGTCTATCCCACCTTTCCATAAAATGTCAGTCACCTTTTCCATAAAAAATCATATCTTACCTTTCCATAAAAAATGGGCCATGTTTGAAACTACTATAAGGGTATTGTGAGACACTTATATCCTCATCAAATACTTTAGTGGTTTAACATGTGTGGCCAAAGCATTTCTGCTGGTTAAGCCTTTTTTTCAAAAATCATATATTTCTCATTGGAATGCTTTGCTTTACAAGAATTGAAGGAAATAATTTTAGCTACAACATTTTGAGGACATAGGGAATTTATAAGAATTTTAGGAAGTATAATTTTACTGGGCAAACTAACAGAAAAAGAAATGAGAACATTTCAGGAACACAAATTTACACTGACAGCTAGAAAGGCCATATTATCAAATAAGCCCCTCAGTATTTCTATTGCTTATATAATTTTCAATATCAAATAGAGATGAATATTTGCTTCAATGTTCATTTTTTCAAATTGTACTGTATGCTTCTCTCCACGCTCAGAGTAGAAAGATAGAGGCAAAACTGTGAAAGTCTATCCTCCCATTGATAGAGAATTAAGTTAATGAAATTCTGAATTCTGGATTTAATGCCAATTAAGCATGAGTCATTTCTCTACTTGCTGAACATGTGCAATTAAAAAAACACCTGAGAGTATATTATCTTGTATGGAGGAAAAGACGAACTTTGCCTTGGCAACCTGATTGCTTTATCTCAGGGATTTATAAAACTGTGGCTTAAATTTTATCTATTATTAAAAAAATAAACAACAACAACAACAAAAAAACCCACAAAAATAAATAAGCATTTTTAAAAGGGGAAAAGTATCAAAGATACTGAAAATGCAAATAGAAAACTTATAAAAATCATGCTATTTTGAAATAATTTAAAGCATCACCTAGAAGATTTTAAGAATATTTTAAAAGACTAATAAAATTTTTTAAAGTACAAAAAAGTCCCCATTTTTATGAGTAGTACATTAGGTAAATCTACTTTTTTAAGCAAGGAACATTATACCAAGATTTGCTCCCTGTGGTATTATAATGGACTTGTTTACAAAATTCAGTCTAATACA